TGTCTGTCTTTGAGGGTGAGGTGTGTTTCTTGTATGCAGCAGAAGGAAGGGTTCTGTCTTCGAATCCATTCTGCTAGTCTGTGTCTTTTTATGGGTGAGTTAAGGCCGTTAATATTGAGGGATATTAATGACCATTGATTGCTCATCCTTCTTCGATTTGCGATGGGTGGAATTATGGGTGGAATTTCACCCCTTTGTTCTTTTGGCTGTTGGTAGAGTGGGATTCTCTAATGCTTATGTTTTTCTGGTTGTAGTTAGCTTCCTTGGGTTGGAGTTTTCCTTCCAAAATTTTCTGTAGGGCTGGGTTAGTGGACACATATTGCTTGAATCTAGTTTTGTCATGGAATATCTTGTTTTCTCCGTCTATAGTGATTGAGAGCTTTGCCGGGTATAGTAGTCTGGGCTGGCACCCATGGTCTCTTAGTGTAGGTAGAATATCTATCCAGGACCTTCTGGCTTTCAGAGTTTCCATGGAGAAATCAGATGTAATTCTGATAGTTCTGCCTTTATATGTTACTTGACCTTTTTCCTTAGCTGCTCTTAATATTCTTTCTTTATTCTGTATGTTTGGGGTCTTGATTATTATGTGGCGAGGGAATTTTTTTTTTGTGGTCCACTCTATTTGGTGTTCTGTAGGCTTCTTGTACCTTCATTGGCATGTCTTTCTTAAGGTTGGGAAAGTTTTCTTCTATGATTTTGTTGAATATGCCTTCTGCCCCTTTGAGGTGGATTTCTTCTTCTTCTATACCTATTATTCTTAGGTTTGGTCTTTTCATGGTGTCCCATAATTCCTGGATGTTTTGTGTTAAGGATTTGTTGGATTTAAGGTTTTCTTTGGTTGATAAATCCATTTCTCCTAGTGTATCTTCAACACTTGAGATTCTCTCTTCCATCTCTTCTATTCTGTTGGTAATGCTTATATTGGTAGTGCCTGACTGTTTGTCCAGCTTTTCTATTTTCTGCCTTTCTTCAGATTGTGTTTTTTTCAATGTCTCTATTTCAGTTTTCAACCCTTGCAGCATTTGCATTGCTTCTTGCAATTTTCTGTTTATCTGTTCGTCTGTTTGTTGCCTTTTATGAACTTTTTGGTTTGTTCTTTCTTCCATTTCTTGCATTTTTTGGTTTGCTTTATGTTCCATTTCTTGGATTTTGTGCTTTGTTTCTTCTTCCATTTCCTGCCTTTTTTGGTTTGTTTCTTCTTCCATTTTTTTCATTTTTTGCTTTGTTTTTTTCTACCATTTCTTGCATTTTTTGCTTTGTTTCTTCTTCCATTTCCTGCCTTTTTTGGTATGTTTCTTCTTCTAATTCCTGCATTTTTTGCTTTGTTTTTTTTTTCCATTTCTTGCATTTTTTGCTTCATTTCTTCTTCCATTTCGTGCCTTTTTTGGTTTGTTTTTTCTTCCATTTCTTGCATTTTTTGGTTTGTTTTTTCTTCCATTTCTTTGAGGGATTTTCCAATATCCTCTTTTAGGGCCTCTATCATTTTCATGAAAGTGCTTTTAAGGTCGTTCTCTTCTGCTTCGTTCCCATTGGAATGTTGGGGTCTTGCTGGTGTGGAGTCTCTAGAATCTGGTGGTGTCATATTTGTTTTTCTGTTGCTGACTGTGTTTTTGTATTGTCTCTTTCCCATCTCTTCTTCTAGTGGGTGCAGAAAGAGCCCCTTACTGGTCTGGGGACCAGAGTTCCCTTTTGGTGGGTGCTAGCAAGTCCAATAATCTGTTGGTTCTTCTATACCTTGTCCAAATGGTGGTCCGTGGGTGGAGAAGAAGAACAGGAATCTGGGGCGCTTAGCCTCCTACCTGGTCCCCTGGACCCTATGCTGGGTCCTGTTGTACCTGATCCGGAACAGCTACTCCCCTGGTCTCCCTGGCTCCTCTAGTTTCCTGGTCTCGTTGGTGGGAGAGAAGATCTGGAGTCTGGGGTGCTTGGCTCCCGCAGGGATTAGGAGCTCTGTGCAGTTCCCAGGCGATCTGTAGGCTCTGGAACACAGGCCGGGAAGCTGGCCTGTTTACCTGATACTGCCGGAGGGACAGCTACTTCCCTGTACTCCCAGCCTCCTCTCGTTTCCTGGTCTCGTTGGTGGAAGAGAAGATCTGGAGTCTGGGGTGCTTGGCTCCCGCCGGGATTGGGTGCTCTGTGCAGTTCCCAGGCGATCTGCAGGCTCTGGAACACAGGCCGGGAAGCCGGCCTGTTTATCTGATGCTGCCGGAGGGACAGCTCAATAAGCCAGTTTCTTAAAGGCATCATGGCACATCGCAGCACTTGGAGACAGGGCCAAGCCTGTTCCACATAGCAAATTCTAGGACAGCCAAAGCAACATAACAAGACCCTGTCTCAAGAAAAAATAAAAAGAAAGGGAGAACAAAAGCCAGTGTAAAAGACTGAAGTTAATTCATTTACGAGTAGTAATCCTTTTTTCTTTCTCACCAGTTTTGATACGTGTTTGTTTTGAAAACTACACTTATTTATTTGGGTGATTTACGAGTAGTAATCCTTTTTTCTTTCTCACCAGTTTTGATACGTGTTTGTTTTGAAAACTACACTTATTTATTTGGGTGATTTACGAGTAGTAATCCTTTTTTCTTTCTCACCAGTTTTGATACGTGTTTGTTTTGAAAACTACACTTATTTATTTGGGTCATGGGTGTTGCACCATGGCGCACACGTGGAGGTCAGAGGACGGTTTGCAGAAGTCACTTCCACTCCTTGAGTCCCCAGACCAAAGGTTGCCAGGCTTGGTGGCAAGTGCCTTTACTCACTGAACAGTTTCCCTGGCTCAACTTAGCACGTTTAAGTCTATCCCTTTTAAAGCTGTGAAACATTTGTTGCTGTCTTCTGAGGTTTGTTCATGTTACCTCCCAAGCCGATTGCCAAAGTCAGAGTGGAAGATTGTATCTTACTCTTGGCATTTTTTACCAATGTTATTTATATAAGACAATGCCAGTATAGTCTTAAGAAACTGTTGTCGCCTCTATATCAAAATCAGCAACCATAATGAGACCAGAACAGGATAGTTCGTACTGGTTTTCAGGTCCCCAAGTAAAACACAAGTGCTCCTTGAACAGCCTTTAGTAGGGGCTACCCTCCACCTTTGGCCTTAGAAGGCTGCACATGAGCACACCCTGAAGGATGAACCAGCCTGGCACCTTCTGCCTGACTGCCCTTGCAGGAAGCTTCGGGCACTGCCAGCTGGTGGTCTGACCTGCTTCTCTACCTCCTGGGAAAGGGTGGTGAACATGAAAACAACCGAACACAGATGGCGCCCCAGCTGAATGGTGTTTAAAGCGACATTTCTCTTGTTGAGCTTGGAGGAACTCATCAGTCAACTGCTTACAAAGGAAACCTTGCTGTGGCTAGCCTCTTGTCCTGATCACATGGGTGTCAGGCCTGTGTGTTCTGCCTCATGTCTGGACATGGGTCTGTTTAAATCACAGAAGCACTGGAAAGGGTGTGTGTGTGTGTGTGTGTGTGTGTGTGTGTGTGTGTGTGTGACAGTATCTCGCTATATATCCATGCTGACCTCAGACTCACCATCCTCCTGCCTTGGGAGATAGAAGTGTGCCCCGGCATGCCTAGCAAAGAGGCTGTTCTTGGGCCCAGCTTGTCTGTTCAGTGGACGATGAGCATGGATAAGAAAGACTTTTTCCTTCTCTTGAACAAGCAAGCTCAGACTCTACAACCTAACAGCATTTCATGAAGCTTCTGTAGGAGTCTGCATTTGCACTTTCTGTGGTGACGGAAACATTCTATGTCTGTGGTAACTAGCAAGCATGTAATGACCACACATGTGAAATATGGCCACTGCGATGGTCCCCAGGAACTTGATAGCCACATACAACTGTTGTCTACTGTACAGTGCATAGAGGTGACAATCATTGTCTCATTAAGGGGAGTTTTAATAAATATCAAGGGTAGCATGACAGGTATGCGGGTCAGGCATCTGTGAGTGACTTGGCTAGCTTTGCCAAGCCTTTGATCTTCTAGGTAGTTCTGAAGGTCATGGGTCAAGCAGGGCTATGATTTCTGAAAGTTTGGCTAGGGTGCTAGGGCCTCCTTTCAAGCAGACTCAGTCTGTAGAGGCCTCAGACCGCCCCCCAACTGTAGGCTAGAAGACTTAGATCCTCTCCATGTGTGTCTTTCCATAGGGAGGCTTAATATAGGGCCCTGGCTGTCTTCCAGAGATGACCCCAGAGAGAAAAGTGTGAGAATGATCAAGATGGAAGTCGTGGTGTTTTAAGAGCTTAATGCTGGGTGCAGCTTACCATCATTTCCATAAGTTTCAGAGATCAGCCCTGCTAGAGTCAAGGGAGAGTAAACGGGACAGAGGGAGAGCATACATACTGGGATACAGATTTAGGAGACGGGCTGTGGAGGCTGAGTGCCTTGGGCGTGTCACCTGTCTCTTTTGACTAGTCATCAAAAGGACAGCCAGTTTTCCCCTCCCTTTTTATTGCTTCTTATGCGTTTTTCTCGAAATTAGGGGTTTTTTTGTGTGTGTATGTTTTTTAAGGGATCAGAGTAATAGCAAGCCACTAGTTTGCCCAGGGAGCACTTTTTTGTTTTATATAAATTTTATTTAAGTTATGCATAATCTATTTTACATATCAATCCCAGTTCCCTCTCCCTCCCATCCTTCCATCTTCCCATGCCTACCTCAGACCCCTGATCCCATCCCCCCTCCACTCCCCAGGGAGGGTAAGGCCTTCCATGAGGGGTCATCAAGTCTATCAAGTCATTTGGGGCAGGGCCTAGACCCTTCCCCCATGTATCTAGGCTAAGAGAGTATCCCTCCATGGGGAATGTGCTCCCAAAGTCAATTCGTGCACTAGGGATACATCCTGGTCCACTGCCTGAGGTCCCATAGACTGAGCATCTGTGTGAAATGCTCATCACCTTGTGGGTGGGGAGGCTGAGGCAGGCACCCAGCCGCAGTGGCCCCGGTGATGAAGGTGGTCACCGTTCCCTGCCAGAGCTGATGCCACGCTGTGCTTCCGTTGCAGTGAGCAGTGCATAGAAGCCTATGAACTCCTGCTGGCACTGGCTGAGAGCGAGCAGAGCCTCATCCTGGGGCAGTTCCGGGCAGCTGGCGTGGGTTCCTCCCCTGGTAAGTGTCCTCTGAGTTCCCCCTGTGCTCCTTCCCGTCTCGTCTCCACTGCTGCTGGCATCGAGTCATCTCCCAGAAACATGAAATCTGCTTGTCAAGTGTGTTTTCCATTTTCACTTGTGACTGAGAGGGTAAATTGTTTACATTGAATGCAGCAAGAACTGGAGTAGAAACAGGATCACAGACAAGCTAAAACAAACAAGCACTCTTAGGAAATGGATTCTCTCGGGCTGACAGTAGGAGCAGTGAGCAGAAAGAGCATGTCGGCTTCCTCACCGTGTTGCTAAAACTCAGCCGGTGACAGTGCTGCAGGGCCTGCATTGGTGTGAGGGGACCACACAGTACAGTGTTGGAGAGGAAGGGAGCTTGCTATACCCTTAGTTTGCCCTGGACACAAGCTCACCTATGCATTTGGGAGAAATAGTGACAAGTCAATAAAACTCAGATGGTTAGTATTCAGGCATCTGTACTGGCCTGTCCTTGGGGTTCTGACAGGACACGCCCTCAGCTGCAGCCACTAACAGCACCACCTATGCATATTCACTATGTTCCCATTTAAAAGAACCCTGCCTACCTCTCATTCTCCTCCTCTTTCTCTACCTCTGTCTGTCTCTCTCTGTCTCTCTGCCTCTTTCCTCTCTCTTACTGTTCTTGTCCCTGGAAGTCAGTCTCCCCCCTCCCCTTTCTCTGTTTTATGATCCCTTTCCCTAATTAAAAAAACAATTTCCACTTGAATTCTGATGCATGGCATCCTTCTCTCTTACACTGCTTTTTTAAAGTTACAACTCAAATGACCTGGTGCTTTCCAAACCTTCAAAGGTGGGCAGTATGGGCAAGCCAGGTGTTTCTATGTCTGATCGCCAGGCTGTCAGGAAGTTGCTCTGAGCTGTAAGCATGGGAAGGGAGAGGGTAATAGTTGGATAGCTCGTTAGTAGCTGTGTGCTTCCAATAAACCTTGTCTCTCCAGGACACACTACCACAGGTTCCCCCCCAGGCCCTTCTGAGTAAAGCCCCCATCCCTGCCTCCTCTCTGTTGCCACCTTTGTAAGGACAATTGGGGTTTTCCTCCATTGCGTTTGATGCCCTCGGGGATCAGCATCAAACCTGAAGATGGGAAGAAGTGGAGCATTACTTTCCTTTCTTATACTCCGACAAGGAGCGTTCATCCTTGCTATAGGAGGCCACCCTTTCTTCCTCCACCCCACCCTTGGGTCCCATCCCCACTGCCTGGCCCAGCCCAGAAACAGAAACTCTGCCAACATTTCCATTAGAAACCTCATTTTTCAGGGTCTTTTAACTGAACCATAAAACTTTATTCCTCATATGAAACAGATCCTAAAATGATCTTGGCCTGCTGTCAAGTTTTTTTATATGTATTAAGAAAACCATCAATTAAAGGAGGAAAAAAATCAATCATGTTCTAGTTTGTATCACAAGATGTCTTAACCTGTTTCATGGGCAAAAAAAGCATCTTTATTAGGCCGGTGCCTGCACAGGGCAATTACTTCATAGGAGTTGAAATGGCTTAAACAGATCAGCATTTAAACCATTTGCAATAATCATCAAATGTTCATGTCTCCCTCATCCCAGGTAATTCTTGTATGCATCTGTACAATTGCAAATGGAGTTCTAAATTGGTCTAAGTCATAAAAACCCAGAGTCAGACATAGAAGAAAATGCTGAGAGATCAGAGAGAAGGAGGAGCAAGCCAAAGCTACCTTTACCTCATTAGCTTCCAGCGGAAAAGAGCAAGTTCCTGTTTCTTCCAGCTTATATCCTCTCTTGGCCCAGCCATCTCACTTCCTGTCTGTCTGTACAGAGCTCCAGACCTCTATGGTTAGCAACTGGTGAGCTCTGTCCTCTGATCTTCAGACAAGTGTAATTTGTATAAGCAAGATATCCCCACCTATAATGATGCCATGCCTACTTTAGAACAGAGTACAGAGAGTGGTGAACTGTGAGGTGCATGTACAATTCCCAGGGGAAAGATGGCTGAAAATCACTTTGAGGGGTGGATTTTCGGTATGGGAACCACACCGTACCTAGAGTGTTCTCCCTGTTCTCCACAGTGCTAAGCATTGCCTCGGTTTCATACCTGCTGACATGGCAGCTGATGTGTAAGCCCATCGTGCTGTATAAGCAAGAGCTAGTTTGTGACATTACTCACAGTGTCAGTTTCTGTGGTTGTCTTTGCTTAGTGCTGACTTCACAGGCACTCATTATGTTCATTTGAGAAGGGTTAGCTCAGTGGTTTTCAAACTGTACCTTGGGAAACCAAAGGAGTGTCTTCGGGGCTCAGCAGTGGGCCGGAAGGGTGAAGAAGCACAGTGTAACCCAACCTCTGCCACTTCACCCAACCACGTTTATGTTTTAATGTTCACTATCCAAAGTTTCATGAGAAAAACACAGATCTGTGTAGTATGGATGGCAAACCAGTGGTTTGTTGGCTGGCACAGTTTTTGTATTGTTTTGAAGCCTTTATTCTTTAGTCATTATACTATTGCTATGAAGAGATACCATGGTCCAGGCATTTACTTTGGGGCTTGCTTATAGTTTTAGATGTTTAGTCCATTATCATCACAGAGGGAAGATGGCACTGGGCTGAAATATACATCCTGATCCAAGAGAAATAGGGGTTCAAGGGGAGAGAAGACTTGGCCTGGCTTGGGCCAACAAGGCCAAACCTAACCCTTTTAATCCTTTCAAACAATGCCACTTCTGGTGAACAAACGTTTAAATACACTCACCTATGGGTACCATTCTTATTCAAACCACCACAAGTAGTTTTCACAGCAAAGTTGAGAAGGAAACATAGACATCCCATGCATATGCACAGCCTTCTCCATTATAAATAACAGATGTACCAGACATCATTGTCATCCAAAGTTCCTGGTCTCTATTAGTTTACTCCCTGTTGGAAATTCCTTGGGTGGGGCAAGTGGACAGCAACATGGGCCCACCACTGTACACTGTAGCATCATCCGACTAGCCCAGAGGGCAGGGCTTCCTCGGTCCTCCTACTCATCGTGCCCTCAGTGACTGAAAATCAATTACAGAAGCGTAGCCTGGGCTTTCCTGACTCATACCTGCAGCTATTAACCCATTGACTTCTCTGTGCTGTAGGAGACCAGTCAGGGGATGAGAATATCACTCAGATGCTCAAGCGGGCTCACGACTGCCGGAAGACTGCTGAGAATGCCGCCAAAGCCCTGCTTATGAAGCTGGACGGCAGCTGCGGGGGAGCCTTCGCTGTGGCCGGCTGCAGTGTTCAGCCCTGGGAGAGCCTGTCCTCCAACAGCCATACCAGGTACCACTCGGTGCTCTGCTCTAGGACTCCTCTGCCTGTGCGGGCTTCTCACTGGCCCACTCTAGGGGACAATGTGGCTTGGATAAGGCAGAGTTGCTACATGAGGCAGAGCTTTGAGGAAGGCTAGAAGGTGGCCTTGTTATGCCTGTGTGAAGGGCAGCCCCAAGAGCCACGGCTGTAGAACGTAGAACGGGGAATATGCACGGGTGGATTGTGAATGACAGACGTGGAAAATGAAGCTGCTCTCTGTCTGATGCTCTTCTCCCTGTGCCGTTCTATCCTGTGTCTCTACTATTCCCTGTTTCTGGGAATTACCTGCAGTGGCTAAGACTCACCGCTACAGACCCAGCCTACCTTGAGCTGCTTCCTGATTCCCCTCTCCTTCCCTGTGCCCCTGTCCTTCATTCAGAAGCTCTTCTGTGGCAAGAGGCTGTCCTCTCATCTCTTTCATCGAGGGAGGGTACATTTACAGCACCTCCTGAGCAGGCACTTGAGCCTGAGGTCAGAGTTCCTGTCTATAACTGGGGGTGGGGGAGTGTTAGAAGCCATGAAGAAGAAAGCAGTGGAGACTCCAGGCATTGTCTCTGGTGCGGCTGATCTTCCTGGAAGGGGGCAGGGCCCCAGAGTGAAGCCCCTCGTAGCTTTTTTTTTTTAATCATTCCTTGTCACCGAAGCTTGCTTACTGCTGTAGCGCTCTCCCTCCCCTTGCACGCCTCGTCTCAGACTGGGATGCAGTTGTCAGATACGGAAAGCCAAGGGTGACATATCTCGTTTTCACAGGTGAGAACACCTTGGCTCAGAGATGTGAGTGACTTGTGTAAGAGCACATTCCTGCTAAGAGGCAATCAGGAACTCCAGCACCACGCATGGCATGCCTCCCATCTCCAGCATTAGATCCCATGCCAATAGTGGGATCTAATAAGCCAGTCTGTTTGCATACACATGATGGGAGCTACGTAAGGGCCACTGGGATACCCAACGCCAAAGCACAAGTACTGATGTCTTTTTGGTGCCTAAAAGCAATTCGATACTCCACTCTCTCACCGGAGGAACCAAGCACTTGCCTAGATGTGTTCATATCCACAGACTGGACCCCATGTCCCAGGAGAGAGTACAGTCATAATCCCACACTTGGCCAGTTGCTTACTAACACAAGGGGCTTATTTCTTCTAAGCTTAAGCAGCAATTGTCTCATTTGGCAGAACATACATTATAATTTTTCCTTTAAAGTCATATTCTTCTGCTTAAATACAGAAGCCTGTGCCCTTTTCCATGATGTTTGCAGGTATTTATAATCTGCAATTTTTATGTTTAAGTAGATATCCAGTGTTCCCCTTGTCAGTGAGAGTCTTCTGTTGAATTAATGAATGTTAAGAGTTGGGTTAATAGGAAACGTCTTGCTTAATTGTCTATACACATCTCCCCTTCCTGCATGTAATTCAGTTGTTTCGGTCTGAGCCAGAGACAACTCTGGAATAGAAATTCTCTAGCCTTCTATTAGTGGAGAACTGATGCTGAATGTCTGTTACAGGAGATTTTTTTAAAGTATAGGTGAGCTGGATTGTTAGAATATTTTCTTGAGAAATTCAATTGTTGAGTTTATATTTCTGTAGGTTGAGAGAAATGCAGTCAGAGTGTGCTTTCAAAAGTGAGCTCACTCAAGACTGGCCATTTAGGGTCAGGAACGGCTCAGTGGGTAGAGTTCTTGCTACACAAGCATGAGGACCCGGGTTCAGGTCAGAGCTCAGGTCTCAGCACCCACAGAGATGCCGAGCAGGCACGGTGGCCAGCCTAGCCTTCCAGTGCTCAGGAGATTGGGTAAGGGCAAGGAAGACACCCACATACACGCAAGCATGCACATACCCACACATACATGGGAAGGGGCAAAGAGGGCGTTCTTGAACACATGTGAGTCTCAAGGGATCATCCATCAAACATGGGGTTTTAAACTCTAATTCCACTAAAATGTCACTTTCCCTTTTACCCCTGTCACAGCCGTTCTGAACCCGTACAGAAGATCACATGGGGGCATTCTTGTGACTCTTGATAGCCATAGAACAGGCATATTTGGATTATTTTATGCCAAACATAGTCTCAGAATAAAGCTTCTAACCATCAGGTTATAATAGTCTCAGTAATTTTATGGATAAGCCTTGGAATTCTGGCTCAAATACTGTCCTAGGAAAAAGGATCTTTCTGAGGCAGGGCTTCGTGTGGCCCCCTCCCTCCCACTGTGGCCACCTGGTAAGTTAGCACTACCCAAGGTGTCAGGGAAGGAATGATCAGGTCATGTCCCTGGAGGCATCTGACAGCTCCAGAGGACAAGCGGGTTAATGGCTTTAGGAAGGAGCAGCAGAGGGTTAGTCACCCAGCAAAAAGGATCTGCATGACAGTAACCTCTCAGCTGATGCCCTTGGTGGGACCCCAGCATGAAAGAAAAAGGAAAACATTTCACATTTTAAAATTACAGCTATAGATTCATCGGGAAGCAGGGGGTTGTCTTAATGGGTGGAGCAGCCAGACAATGCTGATTGCCTCCACAGCTTTATCAACGGGTCAGCACGGAGGCAAATGCACTGGATTATCAGTGAGTAGAGCTGTGTGTTAGCAAGCGGCCTACCCATTGTGTCAAGCACTGTGTTTTCTGCTCATTCTCTGAACGTGATCTCACCGATCCAAGCCCACAAAAGCACGGAACAGCCATAGCAAGTGTACCCTCCTGGAAATTGGAACGGAGGCCCTTTTGTTCCTGTATAAATGGGCAACAGGGGGTGTGCGATCTTTGAAAGGTGATGCAGCTTTTCTGTCAACCCTCCTTCTGCCTTGGGTATCTAGGATTCTGGCTGGCTAGCCATGCTGTCTGGGCCATGATGCCCAAATTGCAGTGCACCCGAAGGGCCTGGCCTGCACCCTCCGTACTGGGCCCAGTTAGATAAAGTTTCTCTCCTGGGGAAGAATGGAATAGACCAGTGGAACACTGCCTGACTCAAAGGGGATGCCCTGGGGCCACCATCCAGCTAGGCCAGGCCTCTGGCACCCCAGCAGCAAGCCTCAAGGGATGAGTCACATGGGACTGGCTGTGGTAGTGCCATCTTTCAGAAAAAGAGACTCCCCCCTTCCCCCCTCCCCCGTATCAGGACAGAGTGTTCAAAGTGCAGGGGATCGATGCTTGCCAGTGTTAGTGAGCGAATCACCCAGCTGAGACATGCTGATCCCATCCTAGTCACAGTCCTTCTCCAGCCATGTGACTACAGTAGCAACAGGAAATGCTTCCTGTACTTTTCCCCTTCTTCTTAAGACATAACTTTAAGAACCAGTCAAATCCGTATACCCATTTTGAAAATCATTTAAGTTGTAGCCTTACAAAATGCACACTACACAATATAAGTTCTCCGTGCTAGAATCCCCACCAGGGCACAGGGTGATGCTTTGGGGTAGAATTCCATAACATCACTGGGGCTTTACAACCTAAGGCTTGAGGTTGCAAAGGATGGAAACACATACACAGCTTAAGAGGGGTCCTGACTGAAAGGCTAGTGGGCGCTGTGTGCATGGGATAGATGCCAGCTTAAGGCAGAGGGCTATCATACTTCCGAGTGGCAGGTGATACGGTCAGGCTCAGTGTCCTGCCTTTGTGACTCTGTGCTGGCTGCCATTTTCCTCCTGTTGCAGCAGCCCTCCCTAGATGACAGAACATTAATTAGCAGGCTGCCTGCATTTTTATCCAAGGCTATCTGGTTTGTTTGTGTCGTAAGGAAAACCCACCTGGGACCGTCTGGTTTTTTTAGTGACCAGGATGGGTCATCTGGAAGTCAGAGATGGCACCTGGTACAGAGGGACAGAAGAAATGGCATTTGACATCTAGAGCTAGTTTGAACAGTTGTCAGACAACAGAGAGGATAAGCCGAGGGCAGGGGTTTGTGGGTAGGCAGGGGGCAGGGGTTTGTGGGTAGATCGAGGGCAGGGGTTTGTGGGTAGATCGAGGGCAAGGGTTTGTGGGTAGGAAATGGGCAAGGGTTTGTGGCTAGTCAGGGTACAAAAGTTTGTGGTTAGGAGAGGGCAGGGGTTTGTGGGTAGGCAGAGGGCAGGGGTTTGTGGCTATTTAGGGGGCAAGGGTTTGTGGGTAGGAGAGGGTAGGGATTTGTTTTTGCTTTTGAGCCTGTCATGCCCTTCTTCTGGACTGTGGCTGGCAGCTTGAGCAGTGAGTTTGCAGGAGAACATTCTGGCAATTAGCTGTTGCAGACTAAGCTATCTTGGAAAGAGCTCCTTCAGAGCAGAGGCTCACCCAAAGAACTCCATGGTTCTTGTCTAGCCCTCAGGAAGCCAGGGAAGAGCATGGACATGTATAGCTGAGTTTGCCCGGACTCTCTGCAGTTTCTTTTTCCCCCATCGTGCTCTCAGAGCCCCTCCAGGCTCTGGATAGGGAGGGGTCAGGCTGCCTGTAGAAAGTGATTTATTCCCCTTGACAGCTGAGCTCATCCTGCATTCCAGGCTGGAAGAGGTAATGGATGACTTAGCCCTCTCTCAGCAGCAACAGCAGCCCCCAGGAGGCCAGAGGAAGGGCCAGTGGCTTCTCCTTTGACCATCATCATAATCCAATTGCGCTGTGGAACATTAAGGGCATGAAGCAGAATTGTAATTACCTTAGCCTCATCTGCTCCCTGCTGGTATCCTAGAAGGGAGAGAGGGAGCTAGGCCGGCAGGGCATGGACTGCAGAACTTGCCTTGGAATTCCGCTTTGTCTGAGGTAGAGCGGTGAGAGCTCCTAGTTCCCAGTAGGGTAAAATCTGTGGACTGGGATACTCTGCACTTCTTTCTTCATGTATTGCGAAGCAATAGAAAGCAAAACCATCCTTTTTGGCCGGTGATCAACTCCAGGCCCCAGCAGATGAAGAAACCCAATACTCCCTGCCCACTAATGTTCTTCCAGATGGGTTTAGGTACTCTCTGAGGCCATGGAGAACCAACTTCTTATCTTCTCCTCCATTGCAGCTTTTCTGCATGGTGGCAGGTGTCTGACCTCTAGGGGACACTGAGGCTGTGGTGGGTATTTTTACTCAGCTGCCAGGAAAGTGTCCTTTGTCCTTGTTCCTCACCCACAATGCACCTGGAGTGGGCACCACCAGCTGGTCCTTCCCCCACTCTGGGAGGTCAGAGCCCACCAGTGTTCCTGCTAACTGCAGCCAGATAAATTAGGCATTCCCTCTGGGCTGTGAGGCTGGGGCATGCTGAAAGAGGTTGTGCCAGGTGTGCCAGGCTCCAGAGGCCTGCCAGAGATCCTGAGCACCCTCCTGAGCAGTTCAGTGCACTGCAGCCCCACCCCTAGGAAAATGTGAGGGCAGCCAGTCAGTGATCTGTCGAGTTTCCATTTGTTGCTGCCTGGTGGCAGGCACTGCATGTAGTCTGTCCTAGGGACAGATTGCTGTCATCTCTTACCCACTGTGGGTGTCGGGGAAAGGGAGTGCCACCCTAAAAAACGCCTGGGTGAGAATGAAGCCATGGCCTCAGAGGCTGTCTAAGGAATGGTGGGGCAATTTCTACCCACAGGATAGTAGTTCGTCCATACCATCTCTGTAGAGCTTTGAACTCTTTGAATTTTGTAATTTCTATTTGAAGTGAAAGTTAACAAGGTTGCTTTTGTTATCGGTGTCATAGTTCCAAAACTAGCAGTGTAACGATAACACGCCCAATTGTCATGTGGGCGGCTGGCACATGAATGTTGGTGATTCTGTTTCTGGTTTGGTAAATAATTTTTAATGAAAGGAATGACTTGTGCCTGAGTTAAGGTGGTGTCGTGGGGAGATCTTTCATTGCTGAGACTGAGGCCCCTCCCGGCTGGCTGGCAGAGAGAAGCCCTGTTGTTGTTCTTGCCTCATTGTATAAACCCAGGGCTGCTGGGATCCATCTCCACACCCTACCCTGTGCAGTGCCTGGTGAACAAGGCTGCCACCTAAGCTGCCCTGAGTTTTGTTACTCATTCGCCTGGGAAACACTATTAGTCTTCTGTCCCTTTGTCACTGTTGAGTGTGAAGAGGTAAGCCCTCCCTGAAGGGGTCAGAATGTGTGGCATGCCTGCCACTGAACTGTTTGCAGACGGTGAGTGGCGAGTCGAGCTGGTTCTGAAGGACTTACTCTAACATACCCTATACTGCAGGTCTGCCTGGTTGTGTGCTAGGGGCCATGGGGGTAGCATCTTCTCTGGGATTAGAATGGATGTTATTTTACATGCTTGTGAGAGCAGCTCCTGGCCAGACTTATGTGTCCAGATCTCTCTGGTCTGTCTCTATGCTGAGGAAAGACATCAGGAGGCTTCTGGCTGGGAGGTGGTGTTTCCTCCTCCTTATTCTCTCTAAAACATTACACACATGATGACCACTTGTTTTTATCTTTCCCCTGCTTGTTCTGCTCACACTTACACTAAGCTTCTGCCATCTCCCCATAAGTTGTTGGAGTGACCCCCTCCAGGGACCTCACTGCCGTTTCCCTTGCCTCCTGATGCCTTTCCTCAGCATAGAGACAGACCAGAGAGATCTGGACATGTACTTCTGTCCAGGAGCTGCTCTCACAAGCACCTAAAATAACATCCATTCTAATCCCAGAGAAGATGCTATCTTTATAAACTCTTGGTGTTGTGACACCTGGTGGCCTCCTGCAGACCCGCTGGCCAGCTCTCCTGCTGCTGTCAGCTGGTTGACTCTGTACTGGCCAAGCTTGCTGTTGGGCATTTTGTGTTTTCCACGTGGTCAGTCCTGAGCATCCTCCCTCCAGATCCACAGGGTTCCTGATCTTGCCTCCATTAGGTCTAGTGGGTTACAACATTATCATGCAGGCCTTCCCCTTTGCTATTTCACATAATAAACCTATCCCCGTATTTCCCATGATGCATGTCATGTCACCTATGCTATATAATGCCACTTGCTTATCTCTGCTGTTAGAATATGAGTTCCATAAAGGTAAGGATTTTTCCAGGACCTAGGAAGGTACCCTATGGTAAGCACCCTGATATTTCTTAAATAAATACTAGCTGTGTTTATCAAGTGCTTATGGTATATTGATTTAAGTGTCACATATTTCGCTTTGTTTTGTTGTTGTCACAACTTTACGAAGCATTCATGTTATGACCCAGTCAGGAACCATGAAATCTACAGCGTTTGGGTCACAAGTAAGTGTGGCACTTCAGCACGAGATCTCTGCAAAGGAAGGGAGCCAGCAGGAGATGCTCGTAGATGTGACCACCTACACATGTGGCTACATGTGTGCATTTAAATACAGCAGTATGTATGTCCAGACATACACACATGCAGAAAATGATTCTCAGGGATTTGAATATAGAGGCTGGGGTGTCAGGATATTCAGGTCATGCTTGAGCCCCGAAGGAAGAACTTTTGTTGAATCCTTTGTCTGGAGCTGTCTGGAGGCAGAATTTGTTCCTCTCTAGGCCTTCAGTGGACTGAATGAGGCCTATCCACACACGGTGACTACTCTCTTCTGCCAGTGTAAGTGTCTAACATATAAAATAGACCCCCCCACACACAACATCAGCTACACAGTTGTCTTGCAAGTCCCTGAGTACTGTAGGCAAACTAGATGACATAGAAAAATCCTTCCCTTTGCCTGAGAGATGTTCAGTCTGATGGCCAAGCTCATCCTGTTCACCTCCCAGTGACTCCATCTTGCTCCAAGGGACAAAGCAAGTAAAGACACACCCTCCCTCCAGGAACCTCCCGTCCTAGAAGTTGCTCTTGGACTTAAGACCACCCAACTCCCAGGGTGGCCTCTGTCTCTGTGTACAGTAGGATGAGCAGCGTAGCTCCAGCCCATACCTTATTCATCCTGGAAGCCTTGTTTTCTCTCTTATACTCTTTTTTTTTAGACAGTCTTCCTATCTTGTGTAAAATGGCTTTAAGCCTCTAGATTCTAGGGCTCTTCCTTACCTCTGTGTCCCGAATAGCTGAGACCATAAGCCTAAACTACTGCATTGGCTTTGTCTTTTTAGACTTATTTAAGACTTATTTAAGTGTATGAGCACTATGCCTGCATGCATGTATGGGCACTATGTGCATGCTTAAGCACTATGCCTGCATGCATGTACATATGTGCATGCTTGAACACTATGCCTGCATGTGTGTATTGCACTGTGTGCATGCTTGCTGCCCATATACGTTAGTTCTGATTCCCCGCAACTAAACTTACAGAATCGAATTCAGGATCTTTACAAGAGCAACCAGTGCTCCTAACTCCTGAGCCAACTCTCCAGCCTTCTCTGTCCTTTTAGTAATGTGTCTCATGCTGAGAACTGCCCTGGGATATGCTGAGATCTTGTGCCAATTTTCCTTATTGCAGTGTCAGGTGCAGAAGCACATAGTGTTGACCACTCCCAGATCCTGGAAAACATCCAGCTCTGAAAAATTTGGGAAGGGGACAGAGCTGTGGACTGAAATGGTTCTGTATAAAGTTCTTTGCACTATACAGTCACAGGACTCAACAGGGCCCTCAATGTTTCTTCACTTGAGCTTCTAATTTATAATAGCAAATGATGGTGCCAATTTTGTCTGTTTTGTTGAGAGCTGCATCCCAAACCAGTTGTAATAAGAGAGATCTGTAGATAGGAAGTCGTGAAAGCAGAGAAACCCGCGGGCCTTATTCTGCATCCGTAGGGACAGCTTGCCACAACTGTCTCTGTTTCCCTTTCATGGTGATTTGGTTTCTCAGAGGCTGTCTGCGCCACCACAGGTCCATGTTCAGCTGATTATCATATCACAATTATCGTAAGGCTCACATTATTTGCTCTTTTGATGTATTCCAGGAAACAGCTTTGTATACATGCCTTTACTTCTGAGGAATTAGCATCTCAGAATTCATTTTTAGGGTCTACATCATGATTTAAAATGATACTTTTGGTTCCGTCCATCTGTCCGTCCATCCATCCATCCATCCTTCCTCTGTGTGTGTGTGTGTGTGTTTCTTTTTTTATGAACTGCCACCTAAATTATGTTGGGGAGAGGAGACAAGGTCTAGTGGTGATGACTTGAAATGTGGGGTTTCTCTTTGTCCCTCAGCACCACCAGCTCTACAGCCAGCAGCTGCGACACAGAGTTCACTAAAGAAGATGAGCAGAGGCTGAAGGATTACATCCAGCAGCTCAAGAACGACAGAGCTGCCGTCAAGCTGACCATGCTGGAGCTGGAGAGCATCCACATCGATCCGCTCAGCTATGACGTCAAGCCAAGGGGCGACAGCCAGAGGCTGGACCTGGAGAATGCTGTGCTGATGCAGGAGCTGATGGCCATGAAGGTGTGCTTCCTTTGCGGGGCCCACCTAGGGGCGCCTACCTCCTCACAGGGCCCCGAGAGCATGACAACAGAGTTCAGTTAGTAATTAGCGTTGTGCAGACGATAGCCAGTCTCTTAGGAGAAGGGTGGCTTTCATTTGTGCAGAAGTCCTATGGGCTGGACTTTATTGGAAATACAGTTGGACTCTAGAGGATGCTATGGAGTACCCCAGTTCAATACCTGCCTGTCGAGGGTTAAGCTAGACCTGCAGCCTCTGTCTGTCCATGGTTATCCCACAGCTCAATAGTGTTAGAAGTCCTCATTGAGTCACCAATGCTGGTGGAAGCTGACAGGAGGAGGCCATGGCAAAGCCAGCTTAGCAATTGTCAAAAAGTTCTGGTTTCCTGTCACTCTAGACATTAGGAGCCCTGTCTGTTTAGAACTGGTGCCCTCCAATGAGAGATGGCAGAACAGTTCTGGCCAGCATCCTGCCAAGATCTTGGGCTCTTCACCCATGGGCTGAGCTACCTGCCAGCATTTCTAGACAAAGGGAAGCCATTGCCCTTCACTGGCAATTAGTTACACGGCCATCCCTGTATCTCAACCAAACCCCAGCAAGGGGGAGGTTGATTGGAGCAGCTGGGGCAGGTCCTCAGCTCTGGACTGGGCTGCCAGGCCCTGGTCATCACCTCTCTGTGATGCTGGTGTTTGAATCTGGGAAGAGGTAGGGCAGCAGGTGGAGATGTGGGAATCCAGGCATCCCTCCTTGGTACTAGCCCTTGTCTCCATACTTGGCTCTTCTCCATCCAGCCACTCAGCTCACAGTGCTCACATTCCTCTGGCTGAGTTCTCAGGACGGCCCGTGAGCTTGGCCCTGAGTATATAATCATGGTGACTTTGCCCCAGCCAGGAGCTTCTTTCACGGACTCTTGTGCCATGTGGTGTAAGCCATTAGGTTGTTCTTCTATTTTGTGATCCAAACTTCATGTTTTCTTTTACTCAAAGACTTAGCATTTCCTTTTTATAGTTCAGCCAATATGTGGTGTGACAGCTTACTGTTAATCTGGCCAAGGAGAGGGGTGTGTGTGTGTGTGTGTGTGTGTGTGTGTGTGTGTGTGTGTGTGTGTGTGTGTTAATGCTCTAATATTGCCTTTGCCATGTGAAATAAGCTGCATTCATCTTGGATATTTTCTGAAGGTGTAGAGGTGGTGAAAAGCTGGGGAGAACCCGTTAACATGGACCCCAGGACCCAGAGCAGCGATTGTCCTTATTCTGGCTTAGTGCTGAGTGCTTCTGGAATACTGACAACCAGCCCTGTCTCCTGTTTTGTAGTGTGTTCCCCAGTGTGTGCTGACCCACACATTCCCTAGCCAGCGTTGGAATTCACCATTTTGGCCCAGCATATAAATGCTCTCGAGTAAATGCCACTCCTCCTGTGATGATCTGCTTGGTTCCTTTTATCATCCACTCTTCTTTCTGAGCACCTTGTCTTTGGTTGGGATCCTATTCCTTTACCCCGTGAGTTGTTGGAAATACTTGCTTTCTGGTTTTCCCCATTCTTTTCCTTCTGCTCCCATAAATGCTGAGTCAATTCCACTGCTTACGCTAACCAAGCCAGCAGTGGTGGCAGCTGTGCCACACACCTGTAATCCCAGCACTGAGGAGGGAGAGACAGGAGGAGCTCTGTAAATGCGAGGCCAGCCTGGTCTACAGAGCAAGTTCCAGGACCACCATGGCTGCCACACAGAGAAACCCTGTCTTGAAAAAACAAACACACAAAAAAAGCAGATGCTAACCCTGCGTCCCTCAGAGTGGCTTTTCCATCTTGTTTTCCTTGGAGAACATGTTTCCTGCTCTCTATGGGGTCTCTCAGTGTAGGGCTCTGGCTGTCCTGATCCTTTGTGACCTGTGGATTGTTGAGGTCAGATATTCATTTTTAATAAGTTTTTGGTATGGGGATTCTTGTGCCATCCACACATGAGCTTGAATTTTGATTTTTCCAAAGAGCTTATTTCTCTTCTCATATGCTGAGACATGATGAGCTCCCTTGTTACACGGTTTTCTAGTCTTTTATTCAGGGAGAACTTGCAGTCTTTGCTCACATAGGTGCTATCAACATGGCCGTCTGCCTCACAGGGGTCAAGGCCACTCACAGATATCAGGGAATTCAGAGCAGTCTGCAGCCTTGAGCTGCCTTGTGAGTCTCAACTGCAGACTTACACCTGGGTCTCTGGGGCTTGTGCATTTCCCCTTCCTTTGTGCAAGCTTGTGTGCGTTCTAAGAGGGACCCTCTTACGAGCTCAGGGTACACAGCTGCCGAAGCCTTCAGGAGCCTCCTCCTGATAGTAAAGGTGACAAGGCTTCCCATAAGAAAATGCCTTCCATTCTGACTGCGTCTGATCGTCACAGCAATGCGGGTTTGGCTGAGCACGTGATTAGTGTGTCTGCCCCCAAGGAGGACAAGCCTTGGTGGGTATCCTCCAACTCTCCCTTACTTTGAGAAAACTAAATGACTTGCTTTCTGTGCACTCTGCAAACAGTGCTGTGTGCTCAAGGATGACTTATGGCTGCCACTGTTTTCTGCCTCCTGGTCCAGGCCTGCACTGTCCTATTTTGGGTTCATGTCTTACTTCACGGAAAAGCATCAGTTAAGCCTTTTAATGAGCTTTTCAGAAGTCATCTGTCTCTGTTTGGCCCAACGTGCACATGGCCCTTAGGTTCAATGCCCAGCCGTGAGAAAACAAAAGGACCTTATCTGATGGGTCACTTCCAGTAGAGGACAGCTCCTGCTAATTTCCTTTGGCCCCTCTGAAGCAGATGTTGTTATAATTAGCATTCCTTGACCTTCCTATCTCAGTTGCAGAGTGACAATAGTGACATGAAATGTGGTGACATTGGAGGGAAATGGGAATTTGACGGAGCCTAGTCCAACCTCTTTGCATGGCTGTTTCCTTTAACACCCTAGGCGGATGCACCTTAGCCTTTGCATGCCTGAGAACTGGTTCTCACCGAGGCAGGTGTGCCCCTGTGAGGTCCTGTAGCGTCTTAGAAGTCTGCCTCTGCCATTTCTACCCATGTAGACATTCTAGACCACAGGATGACAAAGCACTTGGCTTATCTGCCTATCAACCCTTCAGATAGACAGTCAGTCTGACAGTCAGTCTGTCCCCAGCGTGGCGGTAATATCTGGACTGTGTACCCGTGGCCAGGTCTTCCTCCGCACCAGTTCGCCATGGCAACCCTTCGGGCACACAGTGGGAGCTTCTCATTGGCTTTGTTGTGTGCCTTGTTCCGCAGGAGGAGATGGCTGAGCTGAAGGCACAGCTCTACCTGCTGGAGAAAGAGAAGAAGGCCCTGGAGCTGAAGCTGAGCACCCGGGAAGCGCAGGAGCAGGCCTACCTGGTGCACATCGAGCACCTCAAGTCCGAGGTGGAGGAGCAGAAGGAGCAGAGGATGCGGTCCCTGAGCTCCACCAGCAGCAGTGGCAAGGAGAAGCCTGGCAAGGTGCGGCCCCGATGGTGCCTCGGTGCAGGTGTTACTTTCTGCCTTGGCCTTGGGCCATCTCTCCCGCTGTTACCTCAGTTTCCTTGTTTACACAGGCACAAGAGATTCTGAGATATTTGTAAAGAAGCCAGACCCCATTATATGGAAGTTCGGGCATGTTCTCATATCAGTCTTATGAGAGGATCGGCCTGTGCAGTGTTGTCACCCAGCTTCTAGCTCTTCCCCACGACAGCCATCCCTGAGCTGAGATGCTCGCACTTCTGTATTGCTATCTGTGCTTATCTCCCTTACAACTCTGAGCAAGGAATGCTGGTCTGCATTTTTATGAGGAAAATAAGGTACCACAGAAATGAGAGATCTTGCTACTAAAAACAGCAGCATAGGGCTTAAACCACAGCTGGCTAACAGGCCACTTCCTGCCTTTGCCACCAACCCTGCTCTCGGTGCCTTAATAAGCAGGAAGGATAGATGGAGGGAAAGCCTTGGATTACAAAATATATAATGAAGAGAGACCAGTCTTATAGTAATAACATTCACAAACTCCTCGTCAGTCCCCCTCCCATGCCCCAGGGGCCTTAGCTAGAATCCAAGCTCATTCTGTCATTTGTATTTCCCTTCCACATCTGCACTGGAAAGAAAGAAAACAAAATGCTTCAGACCCTAATGAATTCTACCCCTCCCTGACTCAGGGAACTGCACGTCCAGCGCATCATATTTAATATTCCTAATACCAAGCGTCTCCTGACACCATTGTGCTCAGCTCCAGGGCTGACTGACTGATCGTGTAAACCGTTCCTCACAGTGCAGCCGGGGGCACTGCAGGGTTCCTCACAGTGTAGCCGGAGGCACTGCAGGGTTCCTCACAGTGTAGCCGGAGGCACTGCAGGGTTCCTCACAGTGCAGCCAGGGGCACTGCAGGGTTCTTCACAGTGTAGCCGGAGGCACTGCAGGGTTCCTCACAGTGCAGCCGGAGGCACCGCAGGGTTCCTCACAGTGCAGCCGGAGGCACCGCAGGGCTCCTCACAGTGCAGCCGGAGGTACCGCAGGGTTCCTCACAGTGCAGCCGGGGGCACCACAGGGTTCCTCACAGTGTAGCCGGAGGTACTGCAGGGTTCCTCACAGTGCAGCCGGAGGCACCGCAGGGTTCCTCACAGTGTAGCCGGAGGTACTGCAGGGTTCCTCACAGTTCAGCCGGAGGCACTGCAGGGTTCCTCATAGTGCAGCCGGAGGCACCGCAGGGTTCCTCACAGTGCAGCCGGAGGCACTGCAGGGTTCTTCACAGTGTAGCTGGAGGCACTGCAGGGTTCCTCACAGTGCAGCTGGAGGTACTGCAGGGCATCTCCAGCAAATCTGTGTACTTGGGAGGGAGGAAGGAAAGCAAGAGCGAGCACTGGTACTGTATGATGTGAATGGATGCTTCCTAAATCACCAAGAGATCTGAAGCACACGGCACCAACGCTTGGCAGTGTCAGCTTCCCCTCCTCCCTCTGCAGATGAGCCCATGACACTTGCAGTGTGGCATTTCGCTAAGGCCTGATGCATCCTGCCCATTCACTCTCTTGCACGTCAGGACCAAGGTGAACTGCTGTCATCCAGGAATGTCTGCTGGGGCTGATGGACAAACGCGGTCACAGTACCATTACAGGGTGTCCCAAATTCAAGTTTCAACTGCCAGTGCCCTGTGAGGCCAGGGTCAGAGCCTACAGATGAGGAGCTTGAGAAGAGATCCCCTGCAGAAATGACCCAGTAGGGAGAGGGAGTAGTCTTTTTGAAGTGGATGAGTAGAAGTCAGCAAGGCGAGGCTTGGAGACGGAGAGGAAAGGGAATCAGTGTGTTGGCTGGAAGGCTCAGCTTGCAGTATTATCCCAAGGACAGTAGGGAATGAGGGAAGGGCTTGGGAGGGCTTGGGTGGGGTTGGCATGGCTCAGCATCTGGCAGCAGCTATGCCAAGTGCAGTAGCACATCGGCAGGGGCTATGTGGCTGTACTTCATGTAATCATACCCAGGGTTTAGGAAGATGGCGTTTTCTGTTCCATTCACCTTCAGAAGCTTTGCATGGCCATTTAAGCTTGTTGGTCAATTTGGAACACTGGCTTCAACAGAGCGCCAGTGTCTGTCTATGTATGTCCTTAGGGTATGGCAGAACAGACTTAGCAGGTTCTTGCCAAAGGGCCATGAATGAACATTTCCTCCCAGTTCTTGGTGTTTGTTTTGACTGAGAGGCACTGTGCTCCCAGGAGTGACTTCAACACAAACCTTTCTCTGCCAGGAGAGGCCAGCTGGCTTCTAAAACATCTCTGTAGGAAGCTAAGTTACAGAGGTACCCACTGCTCCCAGTCTGTGGAATTCAATGGAGTAAGCTGATTATTTTGACTCTTGGATATTGGCTCTGTTTGCTATTTCAGTAAAGTCTTCCATCTAGAGCCTAGATTCTAAGCTAGTCATTGGTTGTTATTTGCTGGAAACGAGGCCACCAGTATAAAGAAAGGAGCCAAGCTTTTGGTGAGCAGGGCACAATGAAAATTCTGGAGTTTGTCCATCAAACTAGCTACAGCTGCGCAAAGGGAACCCAGTGTTTCCTACATACAAGAAATGCAAAAACCTCATGCAACTTGCATGGGACTGGGGGCCCTATCTTCTGATTTTTTTTTAAACAGGCACTGCTATTTGAGTTTCCTATCATTTGCATGTGGCCAAATATTCTTCTCTGAACTTTTTTTCTACAAAACAGACAAACCATTGCTAGTCCAAGGGCTGTGTGTATCCAGGTGGCGGGTCACAGATGAGCCCACAGCGTCTACTCCCGTTCCGTGGAGTAGGTGATCCTGCCTATTTTAGATGCTTCTCTCCAGCTTATACAGCTGGTTCCTAGTTCCTAACCGCATTGCACCAGGGTTTCTGCTGCTGTTGTCTGTCTGTCTGTAACAGATGCTTTCATATATTGAGGCACTGTGGGTGAGGTGGGGAGCCTAGACTCTTAAGAACCTTATGAAATGCTAGCTTCAACCACAGATGCATGAAAAATGAACGTGCTTCTAGAATTCACAGTCAGTCTTGTGTCTCTGAGGGCAGTTATTAGGAGAGGTGCAGCCCAGGAAAATGGCACAGGAGAGGTGACATGTTGGCCGGACCCCTGCTCAGGCACCACCTGGAAGAGGGTCTTTTAGAATATGTTAAGGGGGCAGGTGTATCTCCTACCATCTGGACTTCGGTGTGGGGTCATGGCACAGATCACAAGCCTTTTATTCTCAGGCCTGGGACACAACATCATCAGCATCTATGGCCCCTAGACCATAGCCCCAACCACCTCTTTTTGCGGTATGCCTGCTAATCAGCATCTCTGTGAAGACAATCATTTTCTTGTTTAGACACGGCTAATGCTTGCCTGTCACTTCAAGAGTTCCAGTCTTCCACCCCTCATCTGTAAAACATGACGTGAAGTCCCTGTGTGCTGCTGCTGCTGCTGCATGGAAAGAGGGGAACTTGTTTTCTCTTCCTCACCCAAGTGTTATGATTCCATGGAACACAAAAGAGAGTTTTCTCTCAAAAGAGCAGGATGTGTCAGAAAGGGCAGTTATGCATATTTGCCTTCTGAAGAGACTCACATGGAGCCAGAGGGGCCTGGCTTTGACAGCTGGATCTGCTAGCTTCTAGCTAGTAACTTGGGTGGGGTAACTTCAGTGCCTTGGTTTCTTCCATGGCGGATGAAGACACTAATAGATAGTATGGGTGCCTCAGAGGGCCCTTCCTAGTGACACGGGAGTAGTGGCATGTGGCAGGCTTAGACCAGTGCCAGTGCAGTAAGTGTTCCTCAGGCTTTTTCTCATTCAGGGCAGCATGTGACGGTAATGAGAAATCTGGGAACGGAGGAGACAATCAGACTTGCTGCCTGGTTTCTCATCAGCTGGCCCAAGGGTCCCACATGCATGGCGCTGCTGTCTTGGTCCTTGATGTACTCCTAGGCTCTGCGTCACATGTAACAATGAATATGTTTTTTGTCCTCAGGAATGTGCTGACGCTGCCTCCCCAGCGTCACTGCCACTGGCTGAAGTAAGGACGAGCAGTGACAGTGAGCTAGCCACAGAGTTTGCCAGTGCCATCCGACGGTAAGCCCTCACGTTGTTCCCTTCAGGTGCGAGGGCTTTTTGGCCCACTTTCATGGCAGCTGCTCATTCCAGCTCTTCCAGGGTCATATTGGTCTTCCTGGATAAAAGAAGGCACTGGTATGCTTAACTCGTGCTCCAACACTGCAGGCTAGAAATGGAAAAAGCGGCTGTTCTGAAAAGTGAGTCTTGAGTGTTGGCAAATAGACAGTTATTCCATTTGCAAGTAAGAAAATATCGCGTTCCTGGTTTGCATGTTGTCACGTAGACTAGACCCTTCTAGATTAGGTAAAAGGAGATAATGACAACAGGCACCCTCCCCTTTCAGGACATCCTTAGCAGACCGCGTTCATCAGTCTTCCTTGCCACTGGAGGCCTCATGTCTCTACTAAGTTCTCGAACATTTTCCTCTGACATTTTAGGGTTTCTCCTCCCACATCCTACTTCTTTTGCAAAGAGAAAGAGATGCCTGCACCTTTAGACCTGTCTCCCACAACCTAACTTCTCACAATTCCTGTCACCCCCATTGCTTTGGGGCCCAGAGCTTGTCTGGCCAACAGAGAAGTAATTTCATATTTTCTAGTACTCACATGAAAAAGCCAATTAAATATATCATATTTAACCCAGTACACCCCAGTTATCACTTCAGTCTGTTATGCATCTTATACATACGTTACTTCTCAAGACCAAACCAACCAAAATTGAAGTTCTCTGTAGCTGCATGTACCTGTTGAACCCTGTGCCCGTACGTGACATGCAAAATGCACTGTAGCATTTCGCGGGAAGTGAACTGTCAGCTGGGGTTTGCAGCTCGCTTACTCTACTACTGTGGTGGTCTTGCTCATGAATATTGATGTTGCTGCTGAAATCCTCTTTTGAAATGAAGCAATGTCCTGAGGACATTTATTGTACCTATTTTTCAATTTCATTTTGTCTCTAGCTGCCTGTTCCCTTGCAGCTGAGCTTTGCCCAAACTTCTATTTGCTGTTTCTGGTTTGGGGACTTGGATTTCTTTCTTTTTGTTTGTTTTCTTTTTTTTTCAAGATAGGGTTTCTCTGTGTAGTCCTGGCTGTCCTGAAACTCGCTCTGTAGGATTAAACTGTGTGCACCCTACCACCCAGCTAGTGTGCTTGTATTTCTAAGCATCATGATCGGATTATAAGTGTCCCTGAGGTCCCATGAGATGCTGTCCACCAAGAGTGTCCGCTCATCTCCTGGGCTGTTTGTCCCTGCTGGCTAACAGCAGCAGTGAGTCAGCCTAGCTGACCCGATCTCGCCTCGCCTTGTTGAGACAGCCAGCACACTGATTTAGGTCCCTCGGACTCTCCTTCCTAAGACAGGGGCTCTTGTCAGCATTCTCAGTTGAAGTTTCTTCTTTTAAGAAGAAGAAAATTGTCTGCCTTTCAGTTTTCCTGGTCATTCCTGGTTTCTGGTACACATGAGCATCAGCTGCTTTCTAAACAGCTTAAGGAGTTTTACAAAGTACTTTCCCTGTTCTAGGGGTTTGATGTAGGAAGTGGTGTCAGTGCACTCAGCAGACCTGACTCCCCTGTGGTCCCCCTGTGGGTTTTATACCAGTTAACTGGAGTTGCCTTATGGGGCCTTTTCTACCTTCCTGATTCCCTCAGTCCCTCAGTGGTTCTTCCTAAGTTGCAATGGCCCTGCATTTACTTTGCAAGTACCTCTTGGGATGTTGCTCCATTTTGATTGCTCTGCCTGGGGCAGAAAATGGGCACAGCCTGAACAAATGCAATAACGTCCTTGTGTCAAAGACTCGGAGGAAAATCCTCTCTCCAGGTCCACTGGGGGAGTCCGTTAGATACTGTATCTGTAAACTAGGTTCCTACAATTTTCAAATTCCCAAAGCTCAAGAGGCTGTCGCCGGCACCAGGAGGACGCAGGTTGTGCTGACTAAACATAAAGGTTTCATTTATCTCCCGTCACGATGGATTTCCAATAACCAGCCCTAAGTTGGTTAGCATGGATTTCTAATCAAGAGCCAGATATATGGAGCCAAGAAAGAATCAGAGAAGCCAGAGGAAAAAGGAAACTAACATAATTAGACTGTAAATATAGCTTGGAAACTGGTATCATCATTTCAGGGGGGAGCACAGTCCAGACACTGGAAGACTGAGGTTAGGGGATGGTTCCAATTTTAAAACTGGAATGGAAACAGTTTTTCAGAAGGTGTCCAGCTGGTCATTAGCAGGCGTAGGGGTGTGTGGGTATGTGTGTGTATGGGACATGGTGTGTGTGTGTGTGTGTGTGTGTGGTGTAGGTGTAGGTGTATGTGTATGTGTGTGTGTGTGGTGTAGGGGTATGTGTGTGTGTATGGTGTAGGGGTGTGTGTGTGGTGTAGGTGTGTGTGTGTGTGTGTGTGTGTGTGTGTGGTGTAGGTGTGTGTCCAGGACATGTTCTGTGGACTATGCTCCCTGCGGAGCAGAACAGTGGGGCTAAGGGTGGATGGAAGAACACTGGTCCCTTCTTGGGGAGAGCCAGCCATTCCAAGGCAGGCATCTGTAACACCTGCTACTCCATCTGTCTTACTGCCCTGTTCCCACCCAGCTTTGATTTCTGGTAGGCCTTTGCCACCATGAGCCTCTTGGCATGTCCTTTTTCTTCTTTTGGGGTACAAACCAGAACTTGATGCAGTCCCACATTTCTTTTTATTTTTTCACTTATTTGTTTTAGAAGATTTATTTATTATGTATACAGTGTTCTGTCTGCATGTATACCTGCATGCTGAAAGGTTGTGAGCGACCATGTGATGCTGGGAATTGAACTCAGGACCTATGGAAGAGCAGCCACATTCCTCCCTCCCTCCCTCCCTCCCTTCCTCCCTCCCTCCCTCCCTCCCGGTTTTCTGAGATAGGGTTCTTCTGTGTAGCTTTGGAGCCTGTCCTGGAACTTGCTCTGTAAACCAGACTGGCCTTGAATTCACAGAGATCCACCTGCCTCTGCCTCCCGAGTGCTGGGATTAAAGGCTGCGCCACCACTGCCCAGCTCTGTCCCACGTTTCTGGTTTCGTTTTGTGCCCTCTCTTTCCATGAACATCTACTGTGCTGTATTGCTTCCAGGGTGACTTTGCTTTTACTGTGAATTATAAACATTGCTCTGTCTGAAACTCCTCTCTTGCTAGGATCCAGCAGACCCTAGTAAAATTTGGCAGACTGATTGATCTTTGTACCAAAGTGAATTGGAAAATGGCAGCCACAAGAAGGGGATTTTCAAAGGTAGCTCGTGTCTGTGTGCAGATGTCTATGTAGGCGCCCTCAAGACTTGAGCACAGCTGAGCAGAGAGCAGCCTGCTTCATCTCCACCAGTCATGGGAGCTGGAGCAGGTGCCCCATAGGATTGGGAGAAATGCTGTGTGTGTGTGTGTGAGAGAGAGAGAGAGAGAGGGAGAGAGGGGGAGAGGGAGGGAGGGGGAGGGGGAAGGGGGAAGGGGGAGGGGAGGGGGAGGGGGAGAGGGAGGGGAGAGGGAGGGGGAGGGAGGGAGGGAGAGTTGGGGAAGACTCATCACACACAAAAAGACAGAATCAGGTTTGCTCCCAGATGCAAGGCTACCCACGCCTGTGTTTCTTAAGATGCTACCTCCACAGTATGTACTGGTCTGGGAAGATGGGAACCTCTAGGCTCTTATGATCATATATCTGCCTTTCTCCTAAACCTGGGGGCAAGTTAAGTGCTGTTGGGCGGCTGACTTCCTCAGATCAGACCTGTGCTGATGAGGTCCTGCTGATTCAAGGGAAGGAAGCTGTTCTTCCTCCTCAGTGGGAAGCAGGGACTATGCACACACCACGCCCTCCCTTGGCTGCAGGCAGCATGCAGGGGCTGAGCACATGTCCTAATCTTAGACGGCTGAACACCTCCATATTGACACAAGCATTCACAGCCACACCACCTCTCAACAACATCTCTCCTAATGATCCAGTCACAACTTGAAAGCCATATTGTGTCTCCCTTACAGTCTCTCTCATTCCTTCCCACATAGTCTGCTGTCTTACCAGCTGGCCCCCAGTGACAAAATCTCAGTGTTCATGCTGAGCCATCTGTCACCCTCCTCCTGTGTGCTGTCACCAAAATACCTTCTTGTTCACCTCTGATGAAGGCGCGCTGTCAGTGCCGCCTCCCCAGGGCGGGGTGATGAAGTGCAGCAGTCAGGTTCACCACTAGATCTCAAGTAGCTTCCTACTGCATGTTTCAAATGCTTCTCAACCCAGTTTGTAATCCAGCCATCCACATGACTGTCTTTCTGAGCTCAGGCCCCAGGCCCCTTCCTCATCCCCACTCACACTATTCACTTCACTCAGGTATCATGCTGTGTATCTTCTCTGAGCCTTCAGGGGTACTTAAGTGTCCATCAGTGTCCTTGGAGCAATTGGCTGTCAGTGGGACTCCCAAAATTCGATGTCTCAGTTGCGGCATCATCAACATACTTTGGGAATCTTGGTCAAGAGAGAGAAAGAGATAACATTTGTTCTAAGCCATACACATAGAGGGATGGATGAAGGGAAAAGTGGTCAGTCTTGGCATGAGGCTTTTCAACAGAAGCTCCCCTGGGCCAATGGCAGCACAATTTTCGCCGTTTTGTTAGTAGGACCATTACTTCAAAAGATACTTTTTAGCCGGATGTTGGTGGCGCACGCCTTTAATCCCAGCACTCAGGAGGCAGAGGCAGGCAGATTCTGTGAGTTCGAGACCAGCCTGGTCTACAAGAGCTAGTTCCAGAACAACCTCCAAAGCCACAGAGAAACCCTGTCTTGAAAAACCAAAAATAAAAAAGATGATGCTTTTTAAAAAAATTCCCACAAGCTGATTCTTCACATTCAGATGATTTATAGTAGCAATCAAGCACTAGGTATGGCACCAAAACATCCCACAAATGCGACATGGGTCTGCAGGACGTTAGTGAAATACAAAGTGGGCCTGTGGATTCATTATCGGGAAAAGAAATTGCTGAGGTCCAGAGCCAGGGTGTCTAGAGGGGAGGTAAAGGTGAC